TTGAGTAAGGCAACTAAACCCCAACTGCTACCTGCGTGCTGCAGATACGGCTGCTCAAGTACAGTTCATTGCAAACATAATTTTCAACATTTTAGTATTTTTTAAGTATACGTCATTGAAGTACAGTTTTAACACAGAATTATACATTGTACATAGAGATTAAATTTCATAATATTGATCACCTTTAGTGGTGATGTAAATTACATTAAACAGTTAAAACTCCAATTAAAACTGGTTGACCTTAAAAATCTTCCACATGATATGTCCCTAATTTTTGCGCCATGCCATCCTCCTGCCCCAGTAGTGTACTCTGAAACTTATCAGCACTCTCACTGCCATCTGTGTACTATAGCAGCACTTTTTACTGTATGTGCTACACAATGCAACTTGGAAACCACAGTCAGATGCACTTTTTAGGTTCCAAAAAATGACATGTCCTGGAAAAATGACTTATGGTCACCTTTACTATCTTTTCACAAACTCAGGTTTTTTCAAGCTGTTAGATACAAGGTGAAAAAAGACTAGGCAAGTAACAATAGTTGATATACCATTGGCATTGGACTTATCTTTTTCTGTGTAAATTTCATGCTACTTGTCAGCTCCAATGCATTTTGTGGCCTCAATGTGGTGTTAATTTAACATAGTAATGGTGAGATGCTGAGTGGCTGAGTTCCAGTATCGGTGCTGGAATACCCTTATTAAAAACAATGATTTACATTTCTGGATACTGCCCCTTGAGTGGACCACATCACCTAACAATTAATAATAAATAATTTACTTGAAAGAATTTAGCAACACATTTAAGAGCCATAATTAAGGGACATTATTCTGAAAGCAATCAGGACCTAATGTGCTTATGTAGTGTGAGTCCTACTGTTATGGGCTTTGGTTTGTTCCAATGCTGTTCTGATGTGACTAAGAATTTGAGGAATGTTGTTCAAAGCAATACAGTCTTTGACTGAGACTATGTAATATGATGTTACTCACCATTTCATAGGCAGAATAAACAGGGGAGACACTGCGATAATACATTCTAGAGAAATTTGATACACTTCTAGTTTTGTGAGGCACTGCTTATCATTAGGAATGGAATGATAACCAGACAAGACAATCCATCTGGGTTTATTGAGAAGAAATTAATTATAATGATTAAGATCAAAGACCTCTCTGAGGCTGTCAGAGGAAAGCTTGTTGATGCCTAAGGGCCTGGGGGAACAAACTGCTGATGGATTACTGCTGAGAACACCTGGACCTGCTGTGAGAGCTTAAAACAACAAACACTTCAAAGCAAAGCAAAGTATTACCAAACACAAACAGAGAAAAGGCTTTCAAACCGAACGTCTTGATGGTGATACCTTTAATGGTCCCTTTAACTAATTAAAATCTGCTCCTGGAGTAGTTGGTGAGCATGCATGACCACGTTGGTCAGTAAAATGGATCAGCAGGTGGAATCGGATCTTTCTGTGAGCTGTCATGTTCCAATTACTGTGGAAAAGAAGCTACATGCTGCCTTTATCATTGGATGTATTGTGATAGTTTCTCATTGGAAGATTCCATCAACAGACATGGACAAAAATTGAGAGAATGTGCTGGAGGTCTAGATCCAGGGACAACAGAGTGAGGCACAAGTGGAGTGAAGAGCTAACAATTAGCTTCCCTCATTCAACAAAGGAGTTACAGTAGAAAGCCAGCTGGGTGGATGCGTGAGACCAACAGGGACTGACTCAAGCCAAAATTTACCGGTGGACGGGAACAGAAAATTAAACTGACTTCAAATACTCTAGTGGGAAAGCTCTCAAAAGTTTCTTGTATGTACGTTAGAGACGGGGGTGTTGACTCTGACATACACTTTGGAAACACAGCGATCATTCATGACCGAGAGGCCTCTGAGGGCAAGCTGCGAGAAGGCAGAGCCGGACATGCAACACATCCAACCTCGCCCATGTCTGAAGCATTACCATGTTTGCCACCTCATTGGAAGTTAACGATGAGGATGGTGGTAGGAGTGTAGAGCTTAGTGATTGGCATTCTGGCGAATAGGAGATGGCTCTTTCAGCTCCCAAACGGCTCTTCATTTAAAATTGGCATTTTTCCCCCCAAAAGCAGCCAAGTTAGCAACATCATCTATTGTTTAAATTTTAATGAAACTTCAGTATACTTTCTAATTAGCTAAGTAACAAAAAATAGTATTGGTATATCATCTCTGTTGGGACAAAACCTCATATCTCCTACATCGTATCAACAGAAATTGTCCCAATTTACTAAATAATTTCTCCACTCGTAATGAAATGTTTTTCATCTCTTGTTAAGTTACATCTTTGGAGGTTTTGTTGCGGCATGGAGGATATGTTTGTCATAAACTACTCAAAAAACTATATGAAAACGATCAAATTGCTTGATCTAAATATTTCATGAATGAGTCGGATGTCGATTATTTTCACTGGAAGCACTTTGATCAAAGTTGTGCTGCTGTAACATATTGACCTGCCTTGCTCTTCTTGTTGTCCTATTTACATGCTCCCTTGTGTCTGTGCCACGTGCTTCTGTTTTTTGTTTTCTGCTCCTCCCTGACTCTGCCCTTTTTTACACCCCTCACCTTACTATCGATCAACCTTCTTTATAATCATTCGTCTCAGCTGTTTCTTGCTCTGTTCAGTGTATTTCTGCCCCCTTGGTCTGCCTTGTCTGTGCCGTGCATTGTGACTGTGCCTAAAACTGCATATTACTATACTAAATAGTATGTCAAAATAGTACACTACCATTAGAAGTTCATTCTTTAGTGTAGAATAGTAATATGTGGTTTTGGATGCTGCTTATTTGCTATTGTTTGTGTATTTACTGGGGGGTATTTTACCAAACAGGGTTTCTCAGTTCAGACTGATAACTTAATTCAAGACTGTTCAAAAGGAAAAGAGCTGAGGGACATTGCTATTGGACAGGCCTCATCTTTGGGCTCAATTTTTCTGGCTAAATAAGAAATCCTGTTTTGTGAAATACCCCCTGGTTAAGTTTCTCATCTTTGTTGTTCCTTTTATAATTTTTTTGAGTAAGTTTCTTGGTTAGGTTTTCTCAGTTTTTCAGTTTCTTGTCACTTCGAAGCTTGACTCAAATAAAAGAAACTCGCACCTACCCCAAAGCCTCCCTAGTTACAGCTATACATAAATTGGCAGTGGTAGTGGATGAAATGGGAAGTGCAAGTTTTAGTAGTAGACAATTTAAGAACCAAACCGAGAATTATGACCAAAATGCAAGTGGAGTCAGGTTTGTTTTCTATGAAAATCCCAGTGCAGGCACATTTCTTGTATAATACACTTTTGTTTAGTTGTGATTAGAACTCCATTTGTTTCATCATTATACTCGCAAAGAACACATACACATCTTTTCTGTTATGGCCTGACGCTAGACTGAATCATAACAGCTGCAAATGAAAGCGATTATCAGAAAGTAAACACCATCAAGTGGACATGACGGTCTTAAAAACTTAACTGCCACCCATCAATGAGCCCCACAGTGTGGTCAGCCTGGCAAAGCACCAAGTGCCATGTTGTAACCAAGTCTATTGTTATGTGATCTCTTTTGATAACAAATAATGCAATGTCATAGTGGCTCTCTGAACTAGAGCTGGAAAAAGCACAGAAACGCTGTACATTAGTGAAAGTTTGCGTACTCTGTCAAAATTGTAGATTTAAACACATTGGCGAGTCTAAAAATGAAAAAGTAACCATTTTTTAGATTAAAGGCATGTGATGCAGTAGTATGTGGTATAGTGAATAATCAGTAATACTTGTCCATTTTTTCTCTTGGAAATGTAAACATACAAGTGTTCAGTTGTAATAATACTTCAGTAAAGTCAGGTCATTATTATCTATGTAGGAAATTCAGTTCATTTTTGTTAGTTTTTCATTTTGTTAGTTTTTCATTTCACTCCAACTGAACATGACAGCTGTCATTTCCATTGTGTAAAAAATTCAGGACTTATGGACCAGTAGAAATGCTCCAAAATCACTTGTAATAAAACTTTGCATCAACATACATTAAAAGAGGTACTTGTTTTTGCGTCCTTTTTTTTTTTTTTGGACAGACATGATATGCACATGTCTCCACACACCAGTGCTAAAAAGCAATGCCATATACAAAAGTACAAATTTTCCGAAGAAACACAAAAAGTTTGTGTATACTGGTTCACAAATGTAGTACATTAACTTAAAATAAGTAAGTACTTATGCATAGTAATCGTGTTGATGTAACATATTTTATTCATGTGGAGCCACATTTGAACCAAGTAAATTTAAAGTTACGTTTTTCCAGTGTATGATAAATATTTGCTCTGCTGTGGACTGGCCTTAAAGCACATATTGGCAACCTAATGTCCACTGATAACTGTTGAACCTGACCTCCAAATCTCTCATTCAAATGGAAATAATTCAAAAGTGTCCATGAGTCTTTAACTCAAGTATGTGCAGAGACTCTCTTACAGAGCAAGGTTTTTAAACAGGCATCAGAAGAAAGATGAATAAGTATTCATTGTTTAGGAATGAGCATGGCTGAGCAAAAGCCATTAGGCTTGTTTTTATAGCATTTAGCGCAAGCTCTTAAGGGCAACCTACAGAAGAGCTTTGTTGTCTTCTTGACAAACATATCATTGGACTGGTGGAAATAGGCCAGACTGTAAAGATACCTTTTTGCTAAGATAGAGCCAGAAACATTATTTTATTAATGATACCTGGATATATATATATATATATATATATATATATATATACATTGAACTGCAATATTCAGGAAGTTCAGAAAAAGCAAAGGGGAATGAACTTAGAGGGATCAATCCCCCCCTGGGTTCAGAGGTAAGAAGGACAGGGATTACGGTAAGAATCTGCAAGCTTTCGGGAAACTACAAACTATGATTATTTGTTTTTTTTTTGTGTAAACTTTACTCAACAAACATTCAGCCATATCTAACCCCCTTCCCTTGCCACATTGGGTCCTTCACTCCTGATTGGTCCACAGTGGTCAGCAAGATCCACATATAATCTCCCCATCAAAGCTGAGTGTCAGTATTGCAGTATCCATCTGGACAAACACTGAGAACCATGATGAGAACAGCAATCCTCTTTCTGCTCCTGAATCTTTGGGTAACCTGTCTGGGTGAGTGTGTCTGTGTAAGTCTTTATAAGAGGAATATATACTGTGGAGTTAATTTTGTGCCAAAAGCTTTAATTAAAATGTGTCCAATATATGTTGCCAATAGAAACAATGAGAGTTAAATTAAACTTAATGTTTTGAAAAGATTACTACTCATTTTCACTCATTCTGATATAAATGTATTACTGATTTTGCCAGTCTTTGCTTAAATTTACTTGTCGATTTTGCTGATGTATTTTTTGCTTCTGAAATATTTTATTTTGCTACTGACTTTTTGCACATTTTCACAGGGACAGGCCTTAGAAGATAACTCTCTATTGGTCAATCATTCAGGAGTAACAGGCCTTCAGGGCTGTATACAGACCCAACAAAATGTAACAAAACTTTTATTTAAAAAGAAAAAGTTTTGGATTGAACACTGTTGTGTTACACAAGCGTTGCAACTAAGGCAGCTGAGAAGACCATTCTTGATATCCTTCTAAGCTTATTCTATCAAAACACTTAAATAAATAACATTAAATGCATACACCAAGCTGCAGTGACTGCAGACTTTATTAGAATTCATTGTGTGTATTGCCTTTTTAATACTCTGGGATTTAAATACACATCTCTGCTGACTGCGTAACACCTCAGACATACCTCAAAACCCGTTGCACACCGTTTCACCCCGCTTCTACAAAACATGTCATTCAACCCAGAAACCTTGAGCCTGAACACGTAGCCCCTCCCACTCCATGGGCTGACTTGAACAGCACAGGAGTGGAAAATACCGCTAAGAGCTGCAACTAAATAGATAGATAGATAGATAGATAGATAGATAGATAGATAGAAATTTAGCAAAAACAGCACACAAAAGACAGAGCTACTGGAAAGGCTGCCACTCTGGCTGGCACTGGAAGTAAAGTCTAACAAAATAGTTGATACACAATCATGTTGACATATCATGGGTGGCTGTTATGTTCTGTGGGTTATGAAGGCTGTTATGATAGTCTTTTCTTGTTTCTACCCCAGAATCCCTCCATGTCAATCACTGAAACAGGCTTTTTATCTCAGCGCACCAGTTTACAGAATGCTGCGGCTCCAAATCACTGACTTTACACAATACAGTGAACTAACGTTAGATATTTAAGCAGTTCAGTTTCATTACCAGTTTGGCTCTCCTAGTTAGCCATAGGGGACACTGCTAGGCTAGCTAGCGCTAGCTTCTGCAAACTCGAAAGGTGGTGCAGCTTCGTTCATTCATGAACAACAAAATTAATGTTCTTCAATGGCTAAAATAACAGCTATATTGTTTAACACAGGCTTAAACAAGACCCATAAACGTGTTACAATAAAGGAATATGACAAACAATGCTAATAATGTTAGATGACAGTATAACACTGCACCCAACAGAGCTCAGTATGATATGTTCCACCATGCTGGGGGCGGTTCATGATGTGTAGCCATGTGTTCGGAAGACGTGTCACCCCCTGTTAAAAGGTGCCAAAATTCAGAAGCAAAAGAAAGATTCCAGAAGCTAAATGTATCAGCAAAATCAGGAGATAGAAAAAAGGAAAAACTGAGTAAATTAAAAATAAATTTATATCAGAATGAGTGAAAATTACTTGTAATCTTTTTGAAAGAATAAGTTAAATGAGTGGTCAGCAATCTTGTGTTTAAAACTGGTTATGGAAATGGGAAGGGTGGCTACTTTTCTATTGGTTTGGCTAAAATGAAATAGGCTAGTCGGTTGTCAACATCACTACAGCAATGTCTCCAGGACATAATGCTTCATAGCTGGCCCACACCAACCTGTGACCAGGCTGGCTATGCCACCATCCTTTAATCGATGGTCAGTTTCTGACCACAGATCTGCTCTTGGTTGGTGGTGGCTAAAGAGTGGAAGCACAAAGGAAATGGTTCTTGAAATGGATGTTAAGTGTACTTTTAACTCGTTATCTCACGGTGTACCGCTGCAATCCTTACAGCTCTGCAGTGCATGGAAGTGCCAGGCAGGCTGAAGCAGATTGATGCTGGGAATGGACAGGTGTTTGGAGTGTGCCCAAAAGGTGAGATCTTCACCCTGTATGGATCCAGCTTTATAAGATTACAAGGACTGCTGAAGCACGTCAGTGTGGGACCTGCCGGTGTCTGGGGAGTCAATTCAACTAATCAGATCCACAAACTTGTGAAGGGAGATTGGGTCCCTGTTCCAGGTGAGTTGGTCTTTGCATACATATGTAGTCACTCACTCATCATCTAAGCCACTTATTCTCCTAAGTTGCAGTGGCTGCTGGAGTCTATCACAGAAATCATTGGATGGAAGGCAGAAAACACTCAGGACAGGTCACCCAAAGGGCAGACACACAGACATAGGGGCAATTTAGTATCTCCAATTTGCCTGACTGCATGGCTTTGGGGAAGCCCCTGTGAGAACCTGCAAACTCCACACACAAAGAACCCTGGTAACCAGCCAGGAAATTGAACACGTGGCCTGTGAGGCAACAGCACTATTGACTTTGCTGCTGTGCTGCCCTGCTTTTAAAACTGAAGGTCCCAAAAAGGAGAAGCACATTAGAAGGACCACTTTTGGTTCCCTAAAGCAATGATTCTCAACCCAGTCCTTGGGACTCATCAGATGGTCCCACATTTTTTTGTTCTAATCTAGCGTGTGGATCTAAAACAGAGCAAAAATTTAAAACCCTTAGGAAGACCTGAGGATTGGGTTGAGAAGCAGGGCCTTAAAGACCCTTTTCAAAGATGGCTCTTTGGGAAATGAGATGTGCAAATGTAAATAAACTTTTCAAAGTTTTAAAGAGCACTTTAAAAGAGTTACAACAGTTTCAGATAGGCCCACCCCTTGTTTAATTCTGAAAACAACCCTCAAAAATGAAAAAAGATAGTTCTTCAAGGGTTCTTTCGTAAAGAAAATGGTATATAGAACCATGAACACTCAAAGAACCCTTTGCATGATTAAATTTGCATGATTTGCATGATGAAATGGTTCTTCAGATTGATGGAGAATGTGCTGTAGATGGTTCTATATAGAATCTTTTTTGAAAATAGTTCTATATAGCGCAAAAAAAGCATTCTTTTATTGTTACAAGCTTGACATCGTAACAATAGAAGAACGTTTTGGTTCTATATAGAACCATTTTCTTTACTAAAGAACCCTGGAAGAACCATCATGTTTAAGGCTCAATCCCATTTCACCCCGTGCCCCTACCACTGAGCCCTTAGCCCTCTGTTTTGTGCGTTCACGTCTAGGGTTAGGGTGTCCCAATTTTTGTTCAGATAGAGGGGTAGGGCAAAGGGTTAGGGCTACATGACCCTCCAAACAGAGGTTTTTCAGAGGGACAGTCCAAACGGAGTGTATTCAGAAAAAAAGAAAAACCAGCAAGATGGCAGCGCGAGCAACCAAAGAAACCCACAAATGTAAAAATTTTGTCCGTTAAAAAATTGCGATAACCATCATATTATCTTGGTTTAATGTTGTTTCAGTGAATTATGGTCATTTTCTTCATAACAAGCATAAAAATCACTAATAGCATGCTAATGTCTCGGTAGCTATCTAGCTAACTTTCCCATTCCACCTTAATTAGTCCAGCAGTTCTGACGCCTGAAGCACCAGAATGTAACTGCTGCACCATTTAAGGTGGAACGGGAAAATATGAACAAGAAGCTGGTGAATAGCTGACTTCAGCTTCATATCACCAAAGAATTGGCGTGGGCGACAATAAATAATTGTCTTAAACCCCCTCTTTGAAGTCATATGATGCCCTAAATGTAACTAAAGCCCAGCAGTGAGGAGCTGAACTTTACCCTCCTCTGCTGTCACTGCAGACTGGCAGGGTCGCCTACAGAGCAGCGCTGGTAGCTGTTAATGAAGTGATGCTCTTTTTATTTGAGGGTCCCATTTCGTAGGGCAAGATTTTAACCATTAGGGTGACACTCGAAAACAAGGGGTAGGGGTAAATAAAGAAATGGGATTGGGCCTTAGAGTGTTGTACTAGAGCAGAGAATCCACCATCCTGACTGTGCTGTGGTCTGGGGAGCACAGCAGACTCTTATTGACTATTGATTTACTTTGAGTGACTAAGAGTCCATATGTCCTTATAAGGAACATAGGTATGGAAGTCCTTGCAAAACTTTGGGGCCCAAAAGTCCACACTCTGTAACTCTGTAACTGCATTGGGTTTAATGAGTAACATATGTCCATTCTGTTCACTTTATATATATATATATATATATATATATATATATATATATATATATATATATATGTATGTATATATATATATATATATATATATATATATATATATATATATGTGTGTGTGTACATAATTATATATGTGACAATGTTTCAGCAGGGGGCAGGAACATTGGTTGGCTGATTTGCTTTTTGGGACTTCCCAAATGCTCCTGTACTTCTGTACTGGAGACCTAACATGTGCACCTATAGCACAGTTGAACCAGAGAGGGCACTTTAGATGCTGAACTGGCCACAATAAGGATGTTATTTTGACAATTTGTATAGACATGTTGGATTTTCGACATGAGCCTTTTCATTTATGAGCTTTTAATGAAAAAAACAGCTTAAGGTTGCAATTACTCTTTTAAGTTTCTCCATAAACTCTATAATAATTATAGTTTTCCTTAGAATCATACAACCAAGTCATAATACAGTGATTACCAGCATAGTTCTTGACGATCTATCTGCAGAATTTAAATATCTGATAAATCGTCTTCTGAAGTCCTTCTGAAGATTTGAGCTGAGGAGGAAGGTGGCTGAGATGTAATGTATAGTGCTGGGCCATAATCTCCTCCCTTTTATTTGCATTTATATGAATTTCTGTCCATCTGTTTCTGTCTTTACTCTTCCCCTTTGTCTCCAAGGCACGCTAAAACAGGTGGACGCTGGAGGAAAAATGTTCGCAGCAGGTGTCAACCCAGGCGGTTTGGTCTTCTGCCTCAGTGCAGAAGCCACCACTAAATATGCAGGGCCAGGTAGTCCTGCTTCTTGGACACAACTCCCAGGAAAGCTGAAGTACTACAGCTGTGGACCGTACAGTTGCTGGGGAGTAAACTTAGCAGAAGAAGTATTCCTTATGAAGGTGAGGGATAAGATTGTGGTGATGTATCCTTCAATTCTGATGCCTTCTTTCGCTTTAATGAAGTGATGTTTTAAGTAGCTGTAGGTTTCTCAGCATGTAATGCTGGTTCTAGGAAAGTTGCATGTTCTAGCACTTAAAATATTGCAGCACTGAAACAGAACTTACATAATTTTTTTAAGTACTCATGGTGGAATAATTTTCTCATTTACTTGTAAAAAAGCATAAGCGGCATGTAAAAGATTATATTTTTAATGTTCATTTTGTAAAATACAATATATCGTCGCTGTCTCCATTTTTGTCAATTTTTTGTTTTCTAAATCCTTTCAATACACCACTTGTCCTTTATGCTGTGCAAAAATTTAACGATGCATGGACCAATAGAAATGCTCTAAAATCACCTGGAACAAAATCTTTTAAAGTTACTATTTTGGAGATACTTGTTTTTCATTGGAGATCGACGATGTGTACTTTATTTTCTACACTATGATTACAGTTCACCACAAGGGGGCACTATTAGCACTCATATAGCATTTCTGTGCATCAATAAAAGAGACAAAACCTATGCATGGATCCAAACCAGCGGGATTTTGTGGCACAGATTTGAAAACAGGAAGAGAAATGGCTTTATTCCTTTAATGACTTGAGAAGAGGGAAAGTATTTGATATTTCACATGCAAAAATGAATTGCATACAGTTGACTACAGTTACCATGGGCACAAGTACTTGACTAAATATTTGAATGGTTATATGGACACTGCACAAAGTTATTTTGCACACATGCAGTTATTTGTATTGCATAGAATTCATATAAATTAGCATTCACCACAGTATTGTTGCACTGCACAGTCCTGGTATTACCTTATTATATTATATTCACTGCCCCCCCCCCGTCTTATATGCTTCTTAGTATGAATCTGTGTTATTTCAGGGCGTCACTCCGACTGCTTGTGCTGGCTCCTTAGAATGGCAGCAGATACCTGGAGCTCTTTCTATGATTGAAGTTTCTACTGATGGAAAAGTGTATGGGCTTGATTCAGAAGGAGATGTCCATCAAAGGTACATTTACAGTCTTGATTTTGCATATAGAAAACACTAATCATAGAAAAATAACTACTGTCTAACGTGATGACTGGTTTGGTTGTTGCAGGGAAGGTGTCGCGCCTTGCAACCCTGCCGGCACCGGGTGGCGCAAAATCAACCTTTCTCAGAAAGTCAAACATGTTTCCTACGATCTCGGCCACCTGTGGCTTGTCGGCAGAGATAACCACATCACATACTGCACTGAATAAAACATAATACAAAATTCAAAGTTCTCACATCATGAGCAGAAACCTAGAGGCCTTCTACAAAATCCATAGTCATCTCTTTACTAATTCACTTTTGCTTGTGTATTTGACCAAATATTGCAAATAGTGTTATTAAACACAATTGAATAAATAGTTATTCTGATTAAGCACATTTGAAAATTGAGTCCTGTCTTTATTTTTTAGATCCTGAGACATAAAATATAAAAACATTCTAGTCTATTTTTAGATAAGCCTCATGGGCCTGGCTTTTAACTCACTCAGTCACTCACTTTCATTTAACAGTATTGTCCACAAGAGGGAGCTACTTGCACTGTACTAACTACACTGAAAAAAAAACTTGTGCTAGCTGAAATATCTGAGCATTGTGGGTGCACAAGAAGCGCATGCTTTCTAGGACTTTTGGGGTCCTACATGCTGGTTCTTCGCATCAGTGACACTCCCTGTTTCCAGGGTAACCTAGAACGAATGAATGTCAGTAGGTGGCAGCAAATTAAATGAGCATCTACACTCTTAAATAACGGGACCAAAAATGACTCCTTGTACAGTGCCTTATAGGAACCATTTTTGGTTCCATAATGAATATTTCTATGCTCTTTCTTTAGAAAAACAATTTGGTAGATGAGATAAGTTAAAGAACCTCCACATGGTGAAAAGTTTCTAGGAAGAGCCCTCAAACTGGTGTTGAACCTTTACATCACTTGAACAATTAAAAGGTTCTTTGCACTAACTTTATGTCATTATTAAAGAACCCTTTTGTGGTGCTTTTTGGGGTGTATCGTTGGGCATTGGTAGTTTTCCATGTAATTTGGAATAAATGTACAACATGTAGATGTACAAAACATAGTAGAAATCTGGCTGTAGTTTCATATTAATGTGAGTGACAAGAAAAAAACAAATGATAATAGAAAAAAAGCAATGTACACTCTTAAAACAGATGGTTCTACACAGAACACAGATAATTGTTCTATACAGAACCATGAACACTCAAAGAACTATTGGCACCCTAGGGGTTCTCTGCATGGTGAAATGGTTCTTCACATCGATGGAGAATGTGTTGTATATGGCTCTATATAGCACCAAAAATGGTTCTGCTATTGTTTTTCTCCTTTCAGGCACATTTCTTACAAAAGGAAAATGATCTGGCAATATAGTGAGATAATTTTACTTAATAAAATCACTTAAAACAGGTAAAAAATGTTTAGAAATAAGCGCTACTTTTTGTAGCTAACTACAATTTTTGTAGCTAATAGCTGTAGGCACTACAGTTTTATTAAATGTAGCTAATAGCTGTAGCGCCTACAAATTTTTATGTAGCCATAGTGATCATTTTTCGCTACAATTTCGCTACAGGCTTCAGGCAATCCGTGCAAAATCGGAACTACAGAACATGGTCATTAACTGGGCTGGGGGCGACTGTGCAATCCTGACTGAGCCGTGGACAGCTCGAGCAAATGGGCACGCGCTGATCATCCCTTCCTAGTAGGCTTAGCTCAGGGGTCGCGACGCAAATGTTCAGAAGAGCCATTTTTTCCTTTCAACAAAAAATTAAACAACCTTAGGAGCCACAACATGTTTTACCATCTTGGCTGTAAATAAGTCTCAGTATGTGCTGATGTGTTAATATAGGAAAAAAAACGAAAACGCAGACTTACTTTGCTCTGCTTTAGGTGAGCTATAGCCGCTTTTCTCGCACCTCAGGAAACTTCTCCGTGAGTTTCTTGTGAAATGTCTCTCAACGTTTGACTTTTTATGAGGCTGAAGTTGCTTCTCATTCACAAGCTTCTCGTTCAAATTGTCCCGTTCCACCTTAAATGGTACCTGAGGTGCCAGATTGTACTGATGCGCCATTTTAGGTGGAATGGGACAATTCGAACGAGAAGCTGGTGAATGAGAAGCTGATTTCTGCTTTGCAAGTTGTTGCAGATTAAACGTATGAGGAAACCAGCTAAGTGCTTCTAAATGTAAGTAAGTCCATTCACCTCCAAATGATTGATGTTCGTTTTAAATCTTTCTCTTTGCCTTTTCGTTATCTGCATTGCTGTGTGTCCAGCAGTCTGTGCGTCAGTCTTCAGTGTTAAAGGGTGAATTAGCAGTTATGCATTAACTCCAGCGTTTAAGACCATTTATTGTGAAAACTGTGTTAGAACTGCGTGTTATAACGATTTTACAGTAAAGGAGGATTATGTTATGTTATTTTACCTAAAAATTTTGTTCTGCTGTGGAGCCGCAGCAGCTCTGCAGCAGTGGAGAGATTATTCTATTCAGGCCTGATTCTCACCCCAAACAGAGCCAGGGTCACTGATGAGAATTTTGAGGCTAAAGTTTTGCTGAAGTTTAACAAAGGACTCTGAATGTCGTGTCTGTACAGATCTTGCTGAAATGTTTAAATTGGAGCAGTTCTATTTTAGCAGTTGAAAAAAAAATGTTTGGTTTGTATTTGGTTATTTTTGTTGATTTTTGTTAGGAAAAACCTGTAATGATTGACTTTGCCATAACTTAGTCTGAATTTTTGTTGGATATAACGCCTTTGGTTATGTAAGTTTGTACACTTGAACTTAGTTTTCGGTGATCTTTTTGTAAATTTGTAAAAGCTTTTCAATTGTATGTTTCTTTCTGGCTCATGATTAAATGCAGTGTCTTGTTCACACTTTTTTTCAAAAAGTAGCTAAAAAGTAGCCACTACTTTTCTTTCTGGAAATGTTGCGAAATTGTAGCTAACTACAAATTTTGAGAAAGTAGCTACAAAGTAGCTAACTACTAATTTTTCAGTAGCTATCCCAACCCTGCTGTCACCTTTGAACAGGCACAATAACTCTGGCTCTTCAGAGTACACATCTATTCCTCACACTCAATTCCATTTTTTTCTGGTAGTAGGGCTTGAACTGTAAGTCACCTTCTTTTGGCCACCCTCACAGAACAAACTCATACATTTGAGATAGAATAACATCATGAATAGTCCACCATCTGATTTGGCTGGTGGTCACGGGTGCATCATCTGTCACATCTAACTTTAAGTTCTGATCAGCCTTTCTGTCCTGCAACACGTTGCAAAAAAGTTGGGACAAGGGCAATTTAAGAATATAATTATTGAGAAATGTTCAAAAAACATCTTAGATGGGTGATTTAGTTATGCTTGGGTATAAAAGAAGCATCCAGGAAAGTTCTTTATAAGCAAAGTGTAGAGGGTCACCACTTTGACAAAAACGCATCATCAAAAATGCAAAATCCAGTGGTTGAAAAATAAGGTTCCTCAGCCAGAGATTGCAAATATTTTAGGTATTTCACCATCTAGAGTGCATAATATCAAAAGATTCAGGGAACCCGGAGAAATCTCTGTGCATAAAGGAAAAGACTGAAAATCACAAATGAATGTCTGTGACCTTTGATCCTCCAGACGGCACTGCATTAAAAACCAGCATGTTTCTGTGGTGGATGTCACCACATGGGCTCAGGAATTCTTTAACAAACCATCGTCAATAAACACTGTTCGTCGCTGCATCCATAAATGCAAGTTAAGACTGTACCATGCATGGTGGAAGCCATATGTTAACAGCATCCAGAAATGACACCAACTTCTCTGTATTCAAGCGCATTTAAAATGAACCGATACACAGTGTGTTTCAACTTTTCAGATTTAATGGAAATACTAGACTGGAAGAAAAGGACCATTCCGTTTGTTGTTAGCGTAAAGTTCAAAAACCAGGGTCTGTCCTGGAATGGAGGCAGAGGGTACCCTGCGATCTGTGAAAGCACCATTAACCAAGCCACATGTCTAGCTGTAAATTTTGTTTTCTGACTTATTTTAGCAAGTGCTTTCAAAGCCATACATTCATCTGATAGAAAATCAACTAATTCACAACACTTGTTGTTGTGGTAATTAACTAGCAAAACCTATAGGCCTCAACTTACTTAAAATTCCACGATCAACTGTATCAAATGCCTTCTGTAAATATGACATAACCATCCCACATTTTTTTCTTCATCTTTATCTCTTCTTATGAGATCAGTTAGGTAGAGAAGACATGTAGAATGCCATTTTATAAAACCTGACTCTAGATCATATAACAGACTAGATTATGTAATGTATTCATTTATCTGTTTCTGTATGATTTTTTTTCCATAACCACTGATAATATACTAAGAATTGATACCAGTCTATAAATTCTTGGGTCATGCTTACTGTCTTTTTTGTACAATGAAATTACTCTCACCATATTTAAGGCACCTGATAGTGTAGCTGAGTGTATAGAAAGATTAACAATATGAGAAATAAAAAGAGCAATGATTTTGGCAGCATCTCTAAGAAGTCTTCCTGGTAAATTATCTAACCCTGTGCCTTTCACAGGATTCAATTCATCGCGGCTTTAGAGAACGACTACATCTGAAACTTTGCAGAAAGAATTTTCTTTAATGCCTGTTTGTTTGTGAATAAAAAAGCTGCTGCTTTCTCTCATTGTTTATCCCACAAATGAGCCTGCCTTACAACATCTGCTGCAGAGAATCACCATAGTTAAAGTCTTACACCAGCTTGCGCAACTAAGCCACATACTCCATCAACATTTCATTTGGCCTTCACAAGTCACATTTGTACCCCTGATCTTGCTTCGGCTTTGGTTCATGATTTTTCTGGAGGTCTACCAGCTGCCTATATGTTTTATCTTTAGTCTTTTTAGAACAGTAGGTTATGCATTAAACTGTACATTCTTGGACCTAATAAGCTAATCAATATAGCTCTCTGTCAGTTTCCATCAGCAATAGCATTTGCTTTAAAGTACTATATATCTGAATTCCTCAAAAATTTCAGTACATTCTTCTCATGTCGCCATTTTCCAGTGCCCCTTAATTATTGTTGTTCAGTTCTACAGTGAACTGTATAGCCCTACCTCCCTTCAGATGCTTCTCTCTCTCATTGCAAGATAGTAGCTACTGTGACATGCAGTCAGTGGATCTTTAACCAACATCATCCGTCATCTGTTCTTGACCTGGCTTTTCTTCATTGCCAAAAATATGTAGTAAGTCAGACAGGAACACACGGACGTAAACATCTTTGTTTATTTTCAATGAGTAACTGGTGTCTTGGCTTATCTCAAGGCAAGGAGAGCTATCCAACACAATGTGTATTTCCTACCACAGCCTATGTCATTTAACAGATAATCACC